GTCTCAGAGCGGCTTACAAACTCCTTTCCCTTCCCCTCCCCACAACAGACACCCTGTGAGGTGGGTGGGGCTGAGAGAGCTCTGACACAAACTGCTCTTTTTCAAGGACAGCTGTGCCAGAGCTTGTGACTGACCCAAGGTCACATCAGCAGGTGCAAGTGGAGGAGTGGGGAATCAAACCCGGTTCTCCCAGCTTAGAGTCTGCACACTTAACCACTACACCAAACTGGCTCTCAGTTGTTTGACCTCTTATACAATAAACTATTTTCATTGTTCACTCTGCCTGCTCCTCACGCCTATTATTCGGCCAAATAAGGGAGGTCTGAAGGTCTTGGGAGGGTGCTCTGGGCCTTCTCAAGGGATCCTAATTCCAGAGTGGTGGCAGCCTCAGGTGACACCCCACCTGAGCCGTGACAGTGGTATATCGAGACACCTGTTGAATGCCCAAAGGAAGATCTAGTGGGGAGTGTCCAGAGGGCAGCTTCCTGCCTGGGCCTGTGGCATAAAGCTGTGCCCACCAAAAGATGAGCACCAGGAGACGGACATGAAGGACTCAACGGCCTCGATTTTTTGCCTTCCTGCCACCGCCCTGTGAATCACAGAACCCTCCTTTCAGCATCGACTGCAGCATGAGCATGTCCGTCAGTATCCGGGGGGGGAATCACAGCTTTCATTTATTCCAAAATGGGACGTCTCTAATTTCCATGGCTGCAAAACAAATGCTTTGAAAGATGAGGGTTGCATCTTTATCTGCCTTGATGGCCCTGGACAGAAAGGGGCAGGGAAATCTTGTTGATAAATCAGTCACCACACCTCAAAAAAGACATTATAGCATTGGAAAAAGTGCAGAAAAGGGCAACTCGAATGATACAAGGGTCGGAACACTTTCCCTGTGAAGAAAGGTTAAAGCGCTTGGGGCTCTTTAGCTTGGAGAAATGATGGCTGAGGGGTGACAAGATCGAGGTTTATAAGATTATGCATGGGACAGAGCAGGTTGAGAAAGAAATACTTCTCTCCGTTTCTCACAAGACAAGAACTCGTGGGCACTCCATGAAATTGCTGAGCAGTCGGGTTAGAACGGATAAAAGGAAGTACTTCTTCACCCAAAGAGTGTTCGACTGGATGGGCCACTGGCCTGACCCAACACTGGCTTCTCTGATGTTCAATCCATAAATCTGCCACATCACTGGGAGGTGGGATGAAGTTGGGCTCTGATGGCTGAAGATGTTTCTCCAGGCCCATCTTTCCCCCCAACTCCCTTGCCTGCAACCGAGTCGCAGCCTGCTGCCTGCCAAAGACTTTATGGGCCTCTTCATTCCACTGCTTTTGTGAATGCAGCAGATTTTTAACTACAGCAGAAAGCGACCTCTCTCCACATACAGCCATTTGTGATTAGGCTGAACAAAACAGACAACATCAGCTTAGTAAGATGATCACACAAATACGATTGTGCAAAATTTAAAACAGCAGCATTCACTGCCATCAAGAAAGTGAATTATTGCTGGAATCCCAGAATTATTGCTGGGATCTTGCCCTGTAAATTCCTAAAGCAGCCGACAGCCAAGCCTTTACCCTGGTAAGCATGTCTGAATAGAACTGGATCTAAATGCTTTTAAAAGGTAAAGGTTTCCCTTGCTCATAAGCCAGTCGAATCCGACTCTAGGGGGTGGTGCTCATCTCCGTTTCCAAGCCGAAGAGCCAGCGCTGTCCGAAGACATTTCTGTGGTCATGTGGCCAGCATGATTAAACGCTGAGGCGCACAGAAGGCTGTTCCCACCAAAGTGGTACCTATTTATCTACTTGCAATTTCTTGCTTTCGAACTGCTAGGCTGAGGAGCTGGGGCTAGAGGCGGGAGCTCACTCCGTCACGCAGCACTCGGGTCTTGAACCGCCGAACTACAGACCTTCCAGTCTGCAGCTCAGCATCTTAACCTGAGCCACCACAGCCCCCCAAATGCTTTTATATGTGGTTTAAATAGGGTTGCCAGCCTCCAGGTGGGGCCTGGGGATCTCCCGCTTTTACAACTGATCTCCAGCTGACAGAGATCAGCTCCCCTGGAGAAAATCGCTGCTTCGAAGGGTGGACTCTATATGGCATTGGACCATGCTGAGGCCCCTCCCCAAACCCCGCCCTCTCCCAGCTCCACCCCCAAAGTCTCCAGGTATTTTCCAACCCAAACCTGGCAACCCTAGGTTTTTACGCAAACTGTTGTATTCTTATGCACAGCATGCCAAACGGCAGAAAAGGGACTATGATCTAAAAAAAATGCATAATGTTCCTGTTGGAATAATTACATTTGTGTAATTTGGGCCTTAGGAGCTGCGGTGGCTCAAGTGGTAAGACGCTGAACTGCAGGCTGTGAAAGGTCGGTAGTTCAGCAGTTCGAGACCCAGGGTGCCGCATGACGGAGTGAGCTCCCGTCTCTAGTTCAAGCTCCTGCCAACCTAGCAGTTCAAAAGCAAGAAATTGCAAGTAGATAAATAGGGACCACTCCGGTGGGAAGGTAACAGCGTTCAGTGCACCTTGGTGTTTAGTCATGCCGGCCACATGACCATGGAAACGTCTTTGGACAGCGCTGGCTCTTCGGCTTTAAAACGGAGATGAGCACCGCAACCCTAGAGTCGGATTCGACTGGCTTTCGAGCAAGGGAGACCTTTACCTTTACCTTAATTTGGGCCTGGGCTGGCAGTTAAGTCCATCTGACCTTGGGCATTTCTCCTCTGGTGCTTGGCGGGAACCTCAGGATCCAGAAGTTCCGGTTCCGGAGCAGATTCTCCACGTTCTCCAGCCTCCTCTGGAGCTGCCCGTACTCCTCCACCAGGGTCCCCAAGGCTGCCCATTTGCTCTCCAGCTGGTTCACCATTTCGGCCGCGGCCCTCTCGCAGCCAATCAGCTTCTTCTCCGCCGACCCCATCCTGCCCTCCAGGTGCTGCAGGCGCACGGTGTGAGTGTCCACCGTCTTGTCCACAGCCTGGATCGCAGACACCGCCGCCCACATGGAAGTCTCTGCCGTCTGCGCCTGCATCTCCCGCGTGGCTGCCTGCTTGGGGGTCGGCTGGAAAGGCAGGTGAGACCTGGACGCTGCCTCGCACTCCACAGCCTGCCTTGCAAAGAGAGAAACCCAAAAGTCCTCTTGAATTTCAGGTGACGTTTACTGCCATTCAGACAGATCAGCCCACCCTGGCCCTCCTCGTTTGCTTAATGCGCAGCTGCATCATTTCTTCAAGCAGCATCACAGGCGGGACCCCTTTCAAGCACTGATGCAGTTTTGGGAACATTGAGGGAGGGAAAGTAATGGTGGTGCGGGGGCTCAGAAGGAATCCCTATACTGGCTGGCCACCGTGGGGGACAGGAGGCTGGACTAGGCGGACCCATCTGGCAGGGCTCCTGCGCATGACCAGTGTTCCCTCTGAGCTGAGTTGGTGTGAGCTAGGTCAGAGTTTTTTAGCCTCCGGTTCACATATTTTTCTCTTAGCTCAGAAAGGATGGCTCCAGAGCAAACTAATTTATGCAGTACCCAAATCGCTTGCTCACAACTTTTAATGCCAGCAGCACACAAAGCAGAATTATTGCTGTCAAGACCATCCCCTGAAGAATTAAGAACCTCGGTACATGCTAACTAACTCCCTCATAAATTCCGCTTTGGTCTCTGTTATCATATCAGTGTCTCCCGGGAACCCCATCCCTGTCATGAGTTGGCCTTTATAATTTATTCAGCTTGTACTTGCCCGGTTCCTTTCTACTTATCATTCATCTTTACAGTTGTACATAAAATTAGATTGATCCGCCTCTGCCAGAGCCGTCAAGAAGAGAAAAGTTGTCATTGAATAACACATAAAGCAAATGGAGACCCAATGACAGGCTTTGTCTTGAATCGCAGGGAAATTGTCCTTCGAGGACCAAACCGGGGGGGGGGGAGGTGTCGAGAGAGCAGGAGAGACAGAAAGAGATGGAGGGGTGGTCACCTTTGTAATCGGATTTTTAGATTTGCAATCAAATAACCAGGGATGTTGGGAATCCTTCGCCCTGTCCGTCCCCCCCCCCATTCAGAAAGAAATTGCCAGATAAAACTTCAACAAGCAATCATTAGCCATGTCATTGGAGTCCACCAACGTTTTGGCCGTAGACGGTTGACATTGCCTTGTGATTGATTATGGAATTGCTCTGCACGGACTCCAGAACCATTATATTATAATGAATGAAAAATGGACTGGATACTCCCCCTCCACTTGAATGGGCACGGAACCTTTCTTCGGCAGAAAGAGGCTCTTCCACCAGAGGAATGGCAAATAAAGCAAATGAAGATCCAGTGGGAAGGAGCCGTGAGTCGGCGGGAGAGCATCTGCTTGCCCTGCAGAAGGTCCCAGGTTCAGTCCCGACATCTCCAGTTTATAAGGACCAGGCAGTAGGTGATGTGAAAGAACCCTGCCTAAGACATGGGACAGCTGCTGCCAGGCTGAGCAGACAATTCTGATTTTGGTGGACTGATGGGGCTGTGGCTCAGTGGTAGAGCATCTGCTTGCCATGCAGAAGGTCCCAGGTTCAGTCCCCAACATCTCCAGTTTATAAGGACCAGGCAGTAGGTGATGTGAAAGAACCCTGTCTAAGACATGGGACAGCTGCTGCCAGGCTGAGCAGACAATTCTGATTTTGGTGGACTGATGGGGCTGTGGCTCATTGGTAGAGCATCTGCTTGGCACAGGCTACACTCCCAACTTAGCCCTGGGTATGATATATTCAGAGTGCGCATCTCTCATCACGCAACACACATTCATGCAGTTACCTCCTCCTCCTGTGCAGCAGCGCTGTGTCTGGAACAAAAGCAGACTTAAAATATCTGAATTTAACAGCCACATGCGCGCACACTTTCCACGCCTAAAGTAATAAGAACCGTAACCCGTACAAATGATTCAGAGCAGAGAATCGTAAGGCAGTGGTGACTTCTCAAGAAAGAATGAAGAAGCGGTCAGTGGAGTTAGGAAAACGTGATTTCAAACACGCAGCACTAAACCCCTCTTACGGGCATCACTGCAGGATGAAGCCACACAACACGCACTATATGACTAACGGGGCGCATGAGCACACGTTCGGTAAACGTAGCACGCTTACTGACTCACATTATTTATAGTCTGTCTTTCCGGCAGGGACTCAGGGCGGATCACGCAGAATAAATCAATACAATCAATCAAATTCGACACCCACCAGCCATGCTCACACTAAGCTGTGGAGTCCTGTGAGCAAAAATTGTTCTTTGTGAGCTCCTGGCATTAAAGCTGTGAGCGAGTGATTGGGCCGCTGCATAAACTGGTTTGCTCCCGAGCCCCCCATCCTCCCTGAGCCGAGACAAAAATGTGTGAGCCGGAGGCTAAGAAACTCTGAGCTGGCTCACACTAACTCAGCTTAGAGGGAACACTGCTTGTGAGCAAAACTCCTACTTTGTGAGTTCCTGGCATTCAAGTTGTGCACAAGCAATTTGGCTGCTGCAGAAAATAGTTTGCTCCGGAGCCATCCTTCCTGAGCCAAGGAAAAAATGTGTGAGCCAGAGGCTAAAAAACTGTGAGCTAGCTCACACTAACTCAGCTTAGAGGGAACACTGGTTGCCAGGTCTGGGGCGGCCAAGGCCGGGAGCCTTGGGGGCGGGGCCTATCTCAGCAGGGTCCAGGGCGGGATTGCCAGGGAGGCGGCCGGCTGGCCATGGAGCGGAGGGGAACGTGGGTAAGGCATGCAAGTGGGTATTTCAGAGATGGTTTTACAAGCAATTGAGGTTGTATCACTTAATGTTTTAGGATATTAGTGGTTTGTTTATTTATAATAATAAGAAGCTGCGGTGGCTCAAGGGGTTAAGACGCTGAACTGCGGGCTGTGGAAGGTCGTTCGTTCAGCAGTTCGAGACCCGAGTGTGCCGCATGACAGAGTGAGCTCCCGTCTCAACTTTGATGCCAGCTCCTGCCAACCTAGCAGTTCGAAAGCAATAAATTGCAAGTAGATAAACAGGTACCACTTCGGTGGGAAGGAAACAGTGTTCCGTGCGCCTTGGTGTTTAGTCATGCCGGCCACATGACCACGGAAACGTCTTCGGACAGCGCTGGCTCTTCGGCTTTGAAACAGAGATGAGCACCGCAATCCTAGAGTCGGATTCAACTGGCTTTCGAGCAAGGGAAACCTTTACCTTTACCTTTTTATTTATATATAGAGCCAGTCTGGTGTCGTGGTTAAGGTGCGCGGACTCTAATCGGGGAGAACCAGGTTTGATTCCCCCACTCCTCCACATGCAGCCAGCTGGTGTGACCTTGGGTCACTAACAAGTTCTCTCAGAGGGCCAGTTTGCTGTGGTGGTTAAGTGTGGGGACTCTAATCTGGGGGAACCGGGTTTGATTCCCCACTCCTCCTCCACTTGCACCTGGCTGGATGACCTTGGGCAAGCCATAGTTCTGGCACAGCTGTCCTTGGAAAAGAGCAGTTCCTGTCAGAGCTCTCTCAGCCCCACCTACCTCACAGGGTGTCTGTTGTGGGGAGGGGAAGGGAGAGAGAGTTTGTAAGCCGCTCTGAGACACCTTCAGGTAGTGAAGGGCCATGGGGTATAAATCCAATCTCTTCTTCTATGTTTATGTATTTTACAAATATTATATTCCTGTATAGGGAACAGAAATGTTTTAAGTCTGGGGTTTTACTTCTTTTACTGTGTACTGGTCAATGACTGTAATAAATGTACTTACTTACTTAGGAGTCCACCCTTCCAAGCAGCCGTTTTCTCCAGGGGAGCAGATCTCTGTCGGCTGGAGACCGGTGGTGAAAACAGGAGATCCCCAGGCCCCGCATGGAGGCTGGCAACCCTCACTAAGAAGAACCTTT